CATATTATAATTCAACCCGATACGTATCAATCAGTTTTCATTCGTTTCATCCGCGATCGAGATATTTCAATACTTTTTACACTCTTGTAATGCTTATGTAATGAGTATTTCAGTATTATGGTTATTGTTATCATGTCGGTTATAGACCACGATAGTGTATTGTTAAATATTTAAGGTTATAACTTTTTTACAAAACTACAAATCACAGAAAACATCGAATTAAGTGCAAAAATTATTTTTTCGAATTAATTTTGTTTAAATATTTTGGCATTCCTAAGGAGCGCCGTCCTACCCGTGAACCTTCCCCCTAATTACGGCTCTACATCATACTGATTTGCATGCACAGACAGTGAAATTTCAGCGGAATGAAATCGTAACTGTTCTAATACCGCTCGTATGTTTGTTCACGTTAAATATTACGTCTCTTTCATTAAAATTCAAATTAATTGGTTTTATAAAATTTTGTAAATTTTGTAACACGTTTAAAAATATAAAAATGATTATTTTACCCAATGCTTTATAACATTAAATTTGTAATTATTGTGATTTGTACACGGTAAAATTTATCCAATGGTGTTAATGTTTAATACCTATGACTTAAAAGAAATAATTTAAAATTCTAATTTAATTCGCATAAATGAAATTTTTTTAAGTACCTATCTAATAGTTAACAATATCAATAGATACAGCAATTTTTCGTCTGACAACTGATTTGGTTCGTGTTGCATTCAATCGGTGTAATTCTATTCTTGAAATCGTAACATGTTTCAATGGTGTTTTAAAATATCTATATGATAATGAAACTAATACAATTATAAAATATTTATTGAAAATTCATAATTTTTTTTTATTTAAAATAATATGGGAAGACGACTTTAATAATACGGCTAAAAATTATTATTGTATAACTATTTTAATTGTATGTTTCATAAAAATATGCGGTAAAATATTGTTCGAATGAAGTAGGTATACTTGTTAATAATTGTGCATCCATTTAAGCGATAGGATGATTAATTGAAGAATATTATTAGAACTGCTACAACTGATGTTGTAAGTAATGAAAATAATTAATCATGCTATTGAGTCCAATTAAGTATTTAATAAAGTACATTAGTAGTATTTGTTAACTATATTAATTTAGCAGTAACTCTTAAACATGTTATTTGAAATAAAATGTGTGCGTTTCTTCTTTGATTTTACAGTTTAGTTAAGTGATTTTAATAAATTTAAGTTTCTTTGTAGACAAAAGCAGTAAAGTTTAATTTGTTACATATTTTTATGTATTTTGTAAATATTTATTTAGTAGATCATATTACTCGTGTTAACACTTAATTTTTGTTGTTTGTTAAACAACGATAATTCTTTTATCGGTTCTCCTTATACGAAAAAATATAATCTCATAAATAAGTAATAATATAAAAAGAAAACATTGACGCCTGAGATTATCAATACAGTTGTATAATGTACGGGTGTATGAAAAAAATTGTTTAGTTCAAGTTTTTCTAATATTTTACGTTTCGAATTAATACAAAAAATAAAATAATTATTTCATCAGTACTGCTGCCAATCATTACACACATCTGTTGTGTACGCAACCTGGGTTTAATATTGTATTCGTATTTGTACGAAGTTTCCAGCCTATTGTAAAATAAGCATTTTTAACGTTACAAATACATATGAACGCAAGTCTGTAATATTACGTATAAGTGTATAACGAATCAAAATCACCATATGAGTCATTTCGAGCACATAAACTTCCGTCTTGATTAGTAAAAGTGGGTCGAGGAGCGTAATAAATCCCTGACCGCAGGTGTACGGGTAGACGATAGCGGGCTGTAAAGAGCTAGAACTCTGTGTTTGTGAATGTGTGTGTGTGTGTGTGTATGTGAAAGGGAATATTTGGGGATTGAAAAAATACACGCAACCATGTGATTTTCACGAAAACGTTGACCCTTCATAACTTTGCTGGCACTTTTGTAAGCAGTGATCAAGAGACAAACAATGTGCATACATGATAACACAGGGTATCAGAAAAATTGAGATATTTAAAATTACTCTCTCAGTACTGCAATAGTAAGAAAATGATTTTTTTTTTTTTTAAAAAAAATTTACGTAATGTGTTATAATGCCTTAAAATTAATGTCTATAAGATGGTGTCAATTTTTACGTGTTAATTCATTTTTCACGAGGAAATGTATTTCTTCCGACATTAACTGGGGTCGTCAAAGTAATATTTTCAATAATTTTTTCACTAAACTGTGGCCGCGTTTGATGGTCCAAAATGGTTTCAGCTATTGCCCAATTTGAAATTTGGAGATGTGTAGGATGAGCCACGCACAATGTCAGAGTTCGATTTCAGTAATTACAGAATAATGTCCAGATGGACACTATTTTATAGACATTAATTTTAAGCATGATGCTTTTAACGTTTGGATTTTTCTAACGATATAAATGTACATTCTGTCTTTAAGAGTAATAATAATGAAAATACATTTTTATTTAACTCTGCGAGAGTTACTTCAAATTCCCCATTTTCTCAGTGGACCCTGTATATTATTATGTAGTATCGAGTATGTGAAAATGTTTTCCTCCATTATAATAATATGTCGTCGTGGTCGTCGATTCCGTAGCTCAGCAGCGGTGTGGGCTGAATACAGCGGTTAGATTATCGACGAAAACCGAGCGCTTGCGCGCCAAAAGCCCTTTTCCCGTTCCGACACGCCTACGCTTGCGTCGCCCAATCCATTCCGTGCACCGGACAAGGGTCTGATGGAATATAACCCCTGCTGAATTATTTATCCCCAGCTAAAAATGTAAACAGTTACCCTGTTATATGTATTTTATATACGAGCGATACACGCTGTGCGTAGTTATATATACGAGTATATTTATATATACATGAAGTGTGTGTGCGTGTGTATGCCTGTATGCGTGTATGCGTGTATGCGTGTATGCGTGTGTGTGTGTGTGTGTGTGTGTGTGTGTGTGTGTGTGTGTGTGTG